CACTGTGACATAAAATCACAAATATTTCTTAAACTGTTAATTTTACCGAGTTGAATAAAGAGGGTATTATCGTTTGCAATTCTTCACGAAACTTATTTTTGATACAGGCATTGCGATTGTCGTCTATGCAAAAATTCTGGGTTGTTAACCATTTAGGCATAGAATTTTCACTTACAACATCAAAAACAAGCTGTATGCATGTGTTATAAATTACCAAATTTGTATCATGCTGAAGTTAATGGTTTAGAATCTGTAAATAAAAATAACTTTTTAATTTTCACCTTTGAGGGCCCGTAACTTGTCAACGAAGGCCCGTTTGAAAAAAAATTATGTATATAAAGAACTGATATTATTTTGACTTCATCTATTTGTATTCGATTTCTTTGTATCAAGTGCCGGGACACCCTGTATATTGGATTCACCTATAGGCCAATCAATAGAGCATTAAATCAGTAATTTTGTTATAAAAATATTAGTGGCAAACGAACTGCGCCATCATATAAAAGACAGTCTGTAGATATATGCTTATATGTGTCCTACTCCAATTTGCCATTAATTAATTTTTATGCAAAAAACGCATTTTTTTGTTATTTGCTTATAAAACCTAAATTAACAAAGGAATCTGAATGCTATAAAGAGACAATTTGTAGAGAATTGGAATACGAATAAAACGAGAGGTCGATTGATCCGATCGGATAATTAGAAACGAAGAAAACCCGGAAATATCGGAAAATTTAGCGTTTTAAAAAAAATTCATTACTCCGTCATTTTTTAAGTTGCAGAGCTAACCCTGTGCACAGAAGTAGTAAATTATATTCAAGTGTGCACAAAGCAAGCGCTGTCGGACCATTAGTTTTGGCACAATTGCAATTTCAATTTTTTGGCGCACTATTTTGCAAAATTTCTGGATGCGTTGGAGGTGGTCCGATTTTAATTTTTCAGCCGGGTTTTTAAAATAAGTATTATACTTCAAACCGTATATTCTAATTTTTCAATAAAATGATGCGGAATAGGAGAAAAATTCCTTCAAACATGCTCAAAAACGGACGAGCGCGCGTATGCGGTCGAGTAGTGGGGGAAGATCGGGGGATGAGGGGCAGTAAATATATAAATATATGTCAAAAAATGCAGGAAAAATACAAGGAATGTCCTTAGGTTTCACATCATTGTGATTCCGTGTATTGGTATTATCTATTAAGTATCACCACATACAATAATATTAAACTGTACTATAACTAACAATATTCAAATCAAATAAGTTGGTAAACTATTTTTTAACCGCTAATAGAACTAAATATTCAAATCAAATAAGTTGGTAAACTATTTTTTAACCGCTAATAGAACTAATAAGCTCTTTTAACAAAATATTTTTTATCACAACAGTAGCCTGACCTTTCTGGAGCCTATTTAAAGCAGATATTTTATTAGGGTTAATCAATCTCTACTTATGGCTAAATGATACTTCCCTTAGTTTTAACATGCATCAACACTTGAGCAACACTAAACCACAGCAAAGGCTATTGGTGAAGTAACGGTTGCAAAAAGGTTTTTGGTTTTAATCGTGTCTCGTTGTACTGGAAATAATATTCCAAAATTGTCTCGTTGCAATGGTGTGTTATTTTTTCCATCAGGTTTTTCCTGGTGTGAGCTGGCATCGAATACACAAGCCACTTTAAATTTGCCCATAAAAAGAAATCCAATGGAGTCATGTCGGGCGACTTCGGTGCCCATAAAATAGGCTCATCTCGACCTATCTATTGATGACCAAAAGTATTTAATAAGTGCTGACTGAACTAAATTGCTAAAATGAGGCGAAGCACGTCATGCATAAACTATATCTGATTTCTAATTTCTAAGGGCACATTTTCTAATAAATCATTTAAGCTTTGTTGCAAGAATTGCAAATACATGGCACCATTTAATGTCTTCAAAAATGAACGATCCAATGAGATGATTCCCAATAATCCCCGCCCATATGTTAACCATGAGCCTTTGTTGGTGTTTTGTCTGTACTATTGCATGGGGATTTTCTTCATATCAGATATGCAAATTATGGTAACTCATTACTCCGCCTCGATTGAAAGTGGCTTCGAACAAAACAACATGTTCTAATACAATTTGTATTTTGCCTAAATAGTTGCAAAAAACAATTTGCCTAATTGACTCTTGCAGGATAATCAGCGGGAGACATTTAATGCCTGTTGGACGTGATAAGGATGTAGCAGTTGTTCTGGAAGGGTCTCTTGAACGGTTCACTTTATCGCATCAACTTGGACCGACAGCCTTCTTACATTATTGTAGGGATTTTTAGCAGTCTCATCTTTCTCGTAAGCTACGATCAACCCTTCCAGAAATTGTTGGGGTGATTTGGAAATGTATCAGAATAAATTCTTCTTGCCTCAATACAATAATTGCCGAGTACTTGTCCATAAATTAGACGCGTCAGCATATTCGTTATAGGAATAATGCTCCATTATTTAGTCTTGTGTACTCAATCAATCAGACAATGTTTACAAGTGTTGTCAATAACATAAAAACGACTAGTGTTTTATTGACGTGACGTGATGTACAAACACTGATTTTTTCCGAAAACAGCTAATTTTATCGAAACAAATGTAGAGTACCTTTTTTAAAGAGGAATGGCCAAGGTATTTAAAAATTCAGTTTTCAGCTCTATAATATTACACCTGTCAAAATTTTGGACCAACGAGTGTGGTGGCAAGTCCGTTCCTGACTTCTCTGACGGTGTAAAACATCTACTGTAGTATGGCTTTATGAGCCTTTGTGGTCTACATAAAATATTAAAATTTCATTAAATTATACAAAACGGTTCAAAAGTTAGAACCGAAAAGATAATTCGCTTTGGGGGCTCTGTATCTCCCTTAAGGGGCACTTTAGGATTTTTTTTTGTCAAACTAGGGTTATTTTGACCTCCCCTATACATTCCCGAGAGTATGCCATATATTTACTAGACACACTGTATAACAAATTCCTAAAAAATTCTGCAAATTAAGAATTATTTCATCAATAAGTAAATCTACCATTATTTTAGTTTATTAATTACTTTAGTTTTTGAAAGTTTGTATGTAACCACGTCAAAGGAAACATTTGAAACAACTTTTTCAATAAATGTTTATGTCAGTTATGGATACTCATTGTTCGTGTAAATATGTATAAGTAGCTAATTAATGCCTGACCACTGACCAGATATAAAAGTGAAAAGTAAACATGAATCCATTATCAATGTGTTGATTGTCACTTATCTTTATGTCCCACGAGCAATAATGTCACCTTATAACTATTTATCTGTTGCTAGGTAAAGGTAAAAACACGCTGTAATAAATTATTTCTATTTTCTATTCATATGTGGAATTAGGGGTTTTCTCATGGTTTGGTTTACATTTTAATCGATGAGAAAGGAATGTTAAATTTATGATTTTCTTATTAAAAAACCTATTATTGGTTCTCGTACATTTTACTAAGTAAATATGTATTTAGATATTATATTTGTCATGTTATCTACTAAAATTTACGTGGTTTGCTTATGTTAAATAGAAGTAATAGAACTAAATAATTTTAAATCATCTGCATATAATACTGCTCCACAATATATTTTAGACGTAATATAATTACCTAAATATTAAATAGCAATGGTCTTAATACAGACTTTAGAGGCACCCCAGCAGAATTAACAATTTTGCTGGATGTAAACCACAATAATATCTAAATTGGTAATATTTTAAAAAGTTTATTGTGTATGACACCAAACGTACTTATTAAACATATTTAACAAGATATTATGGTTAAGGTGGTCAAAGTCCGCAAAAATCAAATAATTCAGTCACTTATTTTGTAAAATATCTCATTACAGTTACGACTGAACGTCTTGAAATAAAATTGTGTTGATGGTTGATGAAACCCTATCTGTGATCTAATTTAAAAGTAGATTGAATTATGAATGAGAATTTCAAAAAGTTTCAAAAGTCTATAATTATCAGTATCTCAAAGAGAAGGATGTCTAGCGACTTTTGTTGAGAGCAATTTTTCTAGAAAAAAAGTTTCGTCGTTGGCGTAGAGTTAGGGGGGTTTAAATGGGAACAAAACCCCATAATTACGTTAGAGTCTTTAGACGAAAATTATTTTAGTTGTCGTTTTAAAAAACAAAAATATATTTTTAAAAAATTCAACGATAACGTAACATTTAAAACAAATTATATAATTTGCCAGTTATAAACGAGAAAACAGGAACATCCTGTATATCAATACGTACTGCCAAAATTCATAATACCGGGATACGTATTTACATATACATGGTACGTATCAACTGAAAAATGTTTTCTTATTTAGTAACTTCGGATATATCTATATATTCTCCTTTGTCTATTTTTACATATTATAGAAAGGGTGTTAAAAAAACTTAAGCTGTTAATTACAGATTCGTTTTAAATATAATAAAAGTTTTCTTATGCCATTTTTTATTTCGATATCTTAAACAAACCAATGAACCAAACTATGTTTTTTTAAGTTTGATATCCTATATCAAGAAAACTACGTTTATGTAATACTCTGTACATACCTATATACAAATAACATTTTTCTAAATGTTACTCAATCTTAAAAATACAAATAATTTTCATCGATAAAAGCTGTGGACACAGACCTACTTATTATTATTATAAATATACGTTGAGGTATTTCATATTCGTCTCCTATTTCTCGATTCTTTATTTATTATCTTAAACTTTCCCGCTTCTTTATGGATAGATTTTATTTTTAGATAAGATAGAAAACTTTCATGGTAAGTCACCTTTTCTTTAATACTTCTGATTGTTATTGAATCACTCGCTCATAGATGGCACTGTGTTAAAAGCAAGGCAATTAAAAATAATATACATTATATGTGATTTTGTTGTTATACAAATGATAGTATAAGTAAAAATACAAGTAATATGTTTAAATAGTAGTAGTAATAATATACAAGTACTACTGAATGCTAAAATTTACACAAATCGTAGCCCAGCCTAAAATTGAAATTAATTGAGTAAGTGCCACCAACATTATGAACGAAAAATATCATTTAATTCCTGCACTTCGAAGAAGGAACATTTGGGAAGAATATTTCTTTCTTTGATATCATTGTTTTCCAAAAAAATTATGTTTTGAGTTTTTAGTTCACTAGTACTAATTAAGTCAATATGGATAAAAATTATGTCCATATAAAAGATATGAGACAGGGATTAAAAAACGTTACTGTAGTGTTTATCGTGTTGGAGGTCGGTCACCCCACCCTGACAAAAGAGAACCGGGAAGTTCGAACTTTCAAAGTGGCTGATCAAACTGCTTGTATAAATGCTAGTGTTTGGGATGAAGCTGGTCAATTATTAGTCCCTGGTGATATTGTTAGATTAACCAAAGGGTATGTATCTGTTTGGAGGAACTGTCTAACTCTATATACTTCTAAAGCTGGTGACTTACAAAAAGTTGGTGAGTTTTGTATGGTATTTAATGAACAACATAATATGAGTGAACCAAATCAAGTGTTACAACAATTACCCTCTGCTTGTGGTCCACCTAACAGCTTATCTTTAAACAATGGTACTAATAATGGTGCCGGAAGAGTAGGACCTCCACCACCAATTCCTGTCACAAGCACGGCTCCTATGCAACACAATAACATAGCTGGCCCTGCGAAATCTACTCCAAACAATTCTGGTCGCACATCAGGAAATGTAACATCTTCAGATAATCAAAAACGACAGAGGGGATCTAGAGGAGGACAACATAGAAATAGGCATAACCGAGCAACTTAGTACGCACTAGTGTTTACGAACTTGTATTACTTTTTGAAAATTGTGATAAGTTGAACTATATTTTATAAATTAGTATTTCAAATAAACTGTTTTATAATTAATTTTCTAAATTTCTTTTATCGTTCTTTTTCAAATTTATAGTATATATAGCAGAATCAAAAACTGTAATTAAAATAAATTAAAAAATTAAATGGAACATATTTTATAACGAGGCACAAAAAATAAACAGTACAAACTATACATATTTGGAAGTACGAGTAAGTAAAATGAAAAGTTCGGCTTTGGTTGACAAAATCTTTTGTTTCCAAGAGACGTTTTAATCATGTAAAAAATATATAAATAACAAAATACTAATAAGTATTAGTGAAAGAATGATTGTAAATAAGACATTCTCATTATGTAAATATAAAAATGTCCCCATCACTTTTTAAACATAAAAATATGTCGAAAAAGATAGGTAAGTACTTATATCTATTTACCTAGACAATTATTTTCTTGAGAAAATTAAGAGATAATTTTTAGTTCATTTGCACTCATTTTTTTTATATAGAAATTATCTCTAAAAGACGGCGCTTTATTCTAATATTATTTTATGACTCTTTTTAGTAGGTTATTTAAAGTATGGAAATATAATTTCTCTGATAATAACAATACCTACCTACTTATATTTAAATCTTACAAAATAAAACATAAAGAAAAGGAAAGTAATAATTTCTTTGTTAATGAACTACCTATTACAAAAGACCACCTGTTCTGATACCCATATGTGGATAAGAAAGGTGTTAATAATTAGCACAGCATAAATAAATATTTGATGTGTAGGTAATTACTCTACACAATAATTAATTAAAAGTCGGATAGCGTCAAGGGTCGAAAATCGTAAATGTACTTTCGCGCCAGCTTAGGGGGCGTATTCCAACCTTCGAGAGTAAACTGATCTACTCTGAACTATGAATTATTTACATACAAATTACCCGTTTAATCGATTGGCAAACAAACTAATCACATCATTGTACAGGGTGTTAAATTGAAATTTCACACCGACACAAATTATGTATTGCGTAAAGTTGTTTAAATAAAAATCTAAGCACGAGTGGAGGAAAAAGAGTGTTGTTGAAGATGTATAGTCCTTTACTACTACTACTACTACTTTATCATTGATTTTATAAGCTACGCTCAGATAAAGTCAAAGTATGGGTTGACGTTTGCTTAAATATTTTAACGTTAGTAGGCTGTGCACCCCCCCCCCCTGCCCGCTAACCTTTTCTGTTTCAGAGACAGCCAGGATCAAGAAACGAAGACAACGACACACACACACACACACACATACACACCCCCATACCCTCCTGCCCCTCCCCTCCCGCGCTAGCCTAAGGGCCACCTTAGCAAAGCGCATCCCAGGCTGCATAGCCGCACTACCCTACCCAACCATACCACACATAAACATGACACCACCCCCGGGGTTTACACAGACGAGCCGGCGAAGCAAGAAGAGCGCCAGAAGAAAGGGCCCTAGCCGGCGGGGCCCAGCCAGGACAAAAGGAGGTCCCACAAAGCGCCTACACCGGCCGCATTTGCGGTCGGGGTAGACGACGGATGGGGCCCACCTACGAAGGCTGTCTAGGCCTACACGAGATGAGGCAGGATAAAGAGGGATAATCCCCCTCGATCCCAAATCATTGAGGCCAATTTATAGCCATGGAATAATGGCGAGTAGGCTGTCAGGGTCCAGGTCTAACAAAGTACGCATTTATCATTATTTTTTGCTCCATATAATTCCTTTGTTACTCTTTTATAATAGACCAAGTTACAAATTGTAACTTTTGAGACTCATAGATCATGCTGATCTATCATCGGACGACATCTCTTCGCTGCCACCTGGTTGCGGACGACGTAACTACTTTAAAAGTAACGGTAATTTCAACAATTAAACGGTCCCTATTATTCTATATATCTAATGCCCTAACAATAAGTTGCAAAGTGTATCTAGATATCAAAAATATTTTTTTTAGATTAAGCATATTAAGACGATTTACGTATATTTTTCCTAGATTTACAGGATGCTCACTATTTTTATTAGTCGCAAATACATCCGTTTCATTTTTCTTACCATGCCCATATACCCTTAGAAGCTTCGAGTATATACTACTCGAGGTAGCCATTGCGAAAAGTGTGGCTGAGTGTGCAAGAGAGACAGATAGTATCTCAGTACATGCTGTCCCATTCTTCGCTTCAACGACGGGAGCCCTGCGGGGGCCAATGAGCGCGAGCATTCATTTCCAACCAATCACGTGCGTGCTAGAGTGAGACAGCATGTTCTGAGATATTGTCTGTCTCTCTCGCACAATAAGCCACACTTTTTGCAATGGCATGCTACCTCCAGTAATATAATATGCTCGAAGCTTAGAAGTGTTTTTTTACCCGTTGCACGTGAACGCACCTGTTAGCGTAAATTAAATATATCGTGCGTGAACGTATTCTGTGTTTATGGTTGCAAATTGTGTGCACGTCAAGAAACAAATGTCACTGTCATTGCCAAATTTTTGCAACATGTGAGTCCAAAAAGGATGCGGTTTTACAAATTTCATTATATTTTACTAACCATGAGCATTGCTACTGTAAAATATATACAATTTTGTATGAAAATAATGGATTTAAAATAGTCAGTGCTACAATATGTTCACTAAAAGTTATAAATCAAAGTATACAGCTGTTTTAAACCCTGATGAGTCTGAAAATCCAGATATAGAACCAATGAAACGAAAAATATTCACGTTAGGCTGCCTTTGGTCATCCTTATTTACTGGTGTTTTAATCGGAACATATTATATACCCTCGATAGGTTTAACTTTCTATCAAAGATGGTTATATCAGGTTAAACTTTTTTTGTGATATTTTATTCATATGCTAATATTAATGCTTTCAGAATTTTCGATTTCCATTGATAACTGTTTTGGTTCACATGATCGTAAAATATATTCTGGCTATGTTAATTCGAATTATCCTTGCAAAGAGGCAAGGCAAGGAACGGGTTCTTGTGGGATGGAAAGATTATGTACTAGCTGTTGCACCAACTGGAGTATTTAGCGGCATCGATATAAGTTTTTCTAACTGGGGTTTGGAACTTGTAAATGTGTCTTTGTAAGTAATATTCCAGGATATTTAAAATCTATTTAAATTGTATATAAAAGAGAACTATATATTAATTTCACATTCACATTTTGTGATATTCCATATAAAATACTGTTAAAATCCTTTTGTACATTTTTCTTAGTATATTTTTGAAATTTATAAATATCGTTTTATGTAAAAGTAATTAACACAAAAATGCAGTAAAATACTTAACAGATTTTCAATTAAGATTAGATAACTTTGGCATTTATGATCATTATTTATTACATTTATTTTTACTTTTATTACCCTATTGTATTTGTTTTAGTAACAAATATATTATTTTTGTGGTATGATGAAGTCGATTTTAATCACAGAGACAGCCCAAGTTTTTTTAAAACTGGGCAATATCAAGAATTATACAACAATTAAAATAAAAACAAATAAAGTTTCATAAATTTAGTTTACATTATGAACATATTTTATAGGTATTTTTAGAATTAATGAAATTACTATTACAATTTTTTTAGGTACACTATGACCAAGTCTACAACAATAGTATTTATACTGTTCTTTTCCATACTATTTAAATTGGAAAAAAAGGTATGTTTCTTGATGTTCTAATATCTTTATTTTTGCTTTGCATCCATTTTATGGATGTATATATTTAACACTGCAAGAATGACATAACTCCATGTAATAGAGGCAATACACTATTTGCCAGAAAATATGAATATTGACTATCATCGAATGTATATAAAGTAATACATAACAAGTAATGGTGAATGTTACTATAAAGTTTTTCAAAATCGTCACAATTCTGATTATATTTTATATTTATTACAATTATTTGTTCACCTTTTTGATTTGATTGATCCTATACGCCACATACAGTGCATCCCATGTTCTCATCTCAATTTTGGGGATGGAAAGTTGTGGTTTAACGAACAGTGTCCTCTTTTTTTTAGAGAAATCTGGTCGAAAAAGATTTTCGATGTGTTTCAGTTTTTCTTTTATAATCAAACAACCAAAACTTTGATATTTTCAACGATGGTACTGTAGCGACTACAACCTAACTTTTTCTGAAATATTGACACTCTTGCAGATATTTTTGCATAAAATCCAGTGGCATATTCAATATTTTTATAGCTCTTAACAGTTTTCGAGTCAGATCAGACATATTTAAAAATGTTATGAAAATCTTGTGCTCAGAAAAATTCTCGAAAAGTGTTAACATTTACAAAAACTGCACTTTTTTTGTCTTTGATAGTAATTGTGTGACATCGAAAATGGTATGTACAGCAGTAAAATCTTTATCATAAAAAAGTACAATATATTTTATTTCTTATCAGAATAAAAACTTAATTACAAGATTATTTCTACTCTGTTCAGTATCAGTTTCCTTTAAATAAAATATGAAAAATTGCATTACAGATAATAACCACATCCTGCTACTAATTAGAGAAAACCAGTAAATTAATAGTTAAAATGCTATGGTATTTTATTGTAGTTTGTTAAAAACTTCATCATCGTACACTATAAAATTAATTTTACATTTGAAAATATAAACAGGTTTTTTTTTCATTAACTAAATATTATTATTATGTAAATTATACTAGGTATGTCACTTTACATTCCCAATGGCTTTTCCTCAATATTACAATACGTACAAAGTGTATTTAAACGAAGGAAAACAAATAATGCTACCAAATAATCTTCAGGCATTTATATTTACATCCTGTAAAATATATAACTAGACCAGATATGCCTTAGTTCAAAATTACTTAATTTTTTAATATTGATTTTATTTCCACATGAAAACTTAAATATATAAAAATAAATTGGATTTTAGCCAAAATGTGTTTTTTAAATCAAAAAACTGAAAAATAGTGTTTAATTGGTATTCAGATTAATAGTATGATTTTGGAAATCAAACTTTGTTAAATATTTACGTAGGATAGTAATAAATTTTGGAAATTGTCAATGAAAAATGCAAATTGATATAGAACCTACATTTTCCCAACAATTATGCTGAATAAATTTTGGAATTTTTCAGTCGTGGAGCCTGTCTGGAATCGTGATGATGATAACACTGGGTTTGGTTCTATTTACATATAAGTCGACCCAATTTAATTTTCTCGGATTTATTTTGTTACTTCTGGCTTCCGCTTCGAGCGGATTACGGTGGACCTGTGTTCAACTTTTACTACAAAAATCTAAAATGGGAATGAGAAATCCAGTAGATATGATATATCATATGCAGCCATGGATGATTGCCTCCGTTTTACCATTCGCAATATGGATGGAGGGTAAACATTTAAATTATAATAAAGTTTAATAATTTACAAATGTGATTCTACGGAATCGAACTTCCGTCATAAATTTGCACCCCTATTTTCGTTGCAGTTTAGTACTTTTTAAAAAAATAATATTCAATTATTCAACTAAGGTTGAATTTTGATTAAACCTTGTAAAATCAATTCATGGGAAGTAAGATGGAGATATGAGTATATAATTATTAGGATTGTGCGGATGTGAGATTTTTAATATTTACAAATCGAATGCGAATGCAAATATTTCAGGTTGATATTACAAATGTGAAAGCGAAAATGAATAACTAAGAGAGCCTTCGTAAATAATTACAAGCCACGTGACTGCCAAGTTTAGGCAACCAACATTGCACTACTGGTATTGTCAACGAAAAATCACCAATATTATTGATTCGTTCACACATGAATAATGAAAATTACGTCTACGCTCAAAATAATGCGATCGTTGAAGGTTGATATTACCCAGTACTCAAAGCATTTTTTAAACATATATTCTGGTATGGACTTCAACTCCTTCAGTGATTTTTGTTTTATGGCTTCTATCGTTGAGTAAAGTCTCGTGAAAAATTACACAAATCACCATCCGGTGAAACAGAACGTTGGTTTTTAATGTAATTTAAATCTTATCGTATTGCCAACATGAAGGAAATAAAATTACTGTTCTACACAAAATTACTGATCACGTAGCTTACAACTATTAATGAGGGTCTCTATTAATGTATCTACACAAAACTAGAATTAACAGAAGGGAAATTATTTTTAAGAGGAAAAGTTTGTATAAACCTTTGTCGTAAATGACTTAATTTTGAACATAATTCCTGAAAATTAAAAAAATATATATTGCCTGTACAAATATTTCTTAGGTCGAACAGTGACGGAGATACTGAAGGACATAACCACTGCATATTTTTTAAATTTAATTAGTGGCTTTTGTTAAAATTAATTGAATAAATCAAGGAATAAATCAAGATACTCTAAGATCACTATTTTCACAAAAAAAATCTAAACATTTTTTGATAAATACGATTTTAAATATCTTAAGTTTAGTTTAAAAAAAAATTTTAAAACTCGCGAATGTGAATACGAACATTCGGACATCCCTAATAATTAGATAGATAATTAATTATTCGCTATGCGTAAAACAAAACTATTTTTTAGGACCCGATGCAATAAGGAATTGCCAGCTTTTTGGTTTTACAGATTTTTCATTATTCTTTAACTTAAGTTGTAAAATTTTATTGGGAGCTTTTATAGCATTCTTCATGGAATTCAGTGAAGTTATGTTAGTAACTTACACGTCTAGTTTAACTTTGGCAATAGCTGGAATATTTAAGGTGAGATATGCTCTTTTAAACATCGTATTTAATTTTTTTTTTGTTATATTCTACATAGTTAAAATAATTTTGAAAAATAATTTTTTTTAATTTGAAACTAGTCACAAAAATTAAAGGATTTGCCCTTTTTTTGATATTTAACATTTCTTTGATCAAGAAAAATATGGATTTTTGTGAAAAAAAAACGTTCAATTTAAAAAATGAATAAAGGCTGCAGAATTTATCATTTAATTCATTTTTAGCAAAAGTGACAATTTCAATCATTCGAATCACACCAAATGAAAAATCGAAGCAGTTTTAGCTTTGAGGTTAAAAAAAAACTGAAAATATCCCTAGCCTACATTCTGTCAAAAAAGTATCCAGAATTTGTCAATAAAATACAATATATTCAAAATCATCAAAATTTAATTTGTCCCCTTCAACATAGGCTCCCTTTGAAGCAATACACTTTTTCCAATGACAACCCAGTACTCAAAGCCCTTTTTAAACATATATTCTGGTGTGGACTTCAACTCCTTCAGCGATTTTTGTTTTATGGCTTCTATCGACTTGAACCATGTTTCACGAAGTGGTAAAAAAGTCAGCAGAGGCCATATCTGGTGAATATGGTGGCTGCTCGACGACATTCGTGGAGTTTTTGGTTAAAAATTCATTCACAATTATCGTTTTATGTGATGGTACATTATCCTGGTGCGAAATCTAAGAATTGTACTTCCATAAATTTGATCTTTTGTGGCAGATACTCTCTCTCAAACGCTTCAAATGCCCAGATAATATTCTTCGATCGTTTCTCCATCCAGAAGGAATTTTGTGTGGGCAACACCACGATAGTCAAAGAAAACAGTCAACATGATTGATTGATTTTTAATCCACTTTGAGTGGGGTTTTTTCGTTTTTAGCTCATTAGAAAAATGCCATTCCTAAGCTTGTTGCCTTGTTTGCATGTCACACTCATAAACCCATGTCTTGTCACCCGCTATAATGTATTGTATAAATATAGAGTTCAAGCATGTCTTCAGCAACATGTTTGCGATGCTCTTTTTAACGAAAATTCAGTTCTTTCCGAACCAGCCACGCTGCGATGCGTTTCGTACCCAAAGCATCAACTGAATTGGAACTTTCTAAAATTTGTTTAGTCTATTTACCAGTTCTCTCAAACTATAATGAAGGTTTGCAAGCACCATTTCCTTTATTTTATCGATGTTTTCTTCTGTTGAAGACGTTGAAGGATGATCAGAATGTGGCAAATCATTAACCACTTCTCGATCATGTTTTGAATGTTTTGTACCATTCGTATGCTTGAGTTTTCGATAAAATTGAATACGTGTACATCTTTCCCAACATTTTCAACGATTCTGTACAAGAAATTCCATTGGTATAATCTTTTCGAAGTCGGTTGAACATGTAAAAAAACGCCTAGCAATAAAATTTAAGGACTCATAGGCGTCCCTAAAAAAGTTTTCTGCTACAAGTAAAAAATTATAATAATTTGTATATAATGTGCAGAAAATTTCTATTATATGTTCATTTGGCCATTTTAATTATTTATGCCCTCAAACAATTTTATTATATTGATGGTAAATTTAGTTTTGTTCCATTTCAAAAGGTCTCCAAAATGCCACGTAATAATATTATTTCTACCTTCTGTAATTTAATATCAATAATTAATAGAAGGTGCCTATAGTTAATAAAAATTACCTGAATCACACCAAATTCCGCATTGCTGCACTACACTGCTGGGAAATTTGTCGTCAACTTGTCAACGGTTGAGATTTATTGCCCAGTAGCCAAATGCAACTGTATTCGTATTTCGTTTGACCGTGCTCGCATTCTTCAACTGGGCGTATATTTCTACCACATCCACGTTTAGTTCGACCAGACCTGTATATGGGTATGGCTAAATAAATATGGGAACAAGTACATACTGTCATTCTTGGTTCTTCAATTGATATCGGAAAGACTATAGCAAAAAATTTCGGCAAACTCTTTTTTCAAACTATCCTTACAGATCACTCTCGAACTTTGTGTTAGGGTAGAATACAGTGATACCAACTTTCCGTCAAGAAAGAAATTAAGTAAATCTAATTTAAGCAGAATTTGTAAATGACAAATGCAGGCTACTTTTTTGACAGAATGTATACTCATTTGAGCACCATTCCGTATTTTTACTTAAGAATGTTACATTTTCAGGAAGTGTTTCAACTAGTCTTAGCTGTAGAATGGAACGGGGACGTAATGTCTCCGCTCAACGTTATAGGCCTTTTTGTGTGTATCTGTGGCATATCGTGCCACGTTGTCCATAAAATTAAAACCCAACCGATAAGACTGCCTGGACGTTCGTACGATAATGATTCAGAACGGAAAGAGTTAGAAGAATACTTAATGGACGATGACTTACCTTACGATGTAAATAGTGATAGTGATGATGGGGAGAAGAGCGATACACAAGTTTTATTTGATATTTTAAATAGACACGAAAGATAATATACCACCGTCTATTGCTGACCGTTTTGTTACGGCACCATGAATATAGTTTTATTTAACGAATTCTATTTTTGTGCACTTTGAATAATGTCAGTGTGAATGCTGTTATTGAATGTCGCAAGTAAGTTTTTAAGTTTTTACATTCCAGTTTTAAAAGTGTACCTCTCGTACTTAACTGTAAATTGTAAGAAATTGATGTTTGCAGGAAATTTCTACTTTTATAAACTTAAAAAGTAGTGTTTTACTTAATATTGTGATGTTTTTCCTGATTCTGTTTATTTGTTGGTATCGATTGTTTTAAAGTATTTGTAAAGTAATAAATGTATATATATTTATAAACTTGTATTAATTTTATAGTTAATTTTTGACAACGGTGATATTTATTTGGTAAATTCAAAATTTTGGGTTTAAGGTGTTCGTCACTATTTTTTTTTTTAATAGATAACAAGAAAATTTCATTGTCTGTGTTTATCAAGACAAAAATTTAAAGAATATTCATTTTTAGTTCACCCATAGTGGAAACTTGTAATATTGTCGTGAATTTAGGTAGATCGTTTTCTCATTAGGCAACATAGCCCCACGTAGGGCGCCATGTGGATCTTGATAGATCAGTCATCTATCTTCTCGGAATAAAAAGTCAGGACTAATAAATTATCGTCCTTTAAACGTTCATCAAACCAACAACAAAATATCGTACTCATTGGTTGTGATCAGGAGGACTTAAGTCTTGCACAACAGAAACCTTATAGTGATGCATACGCAGTCACTTTAATGTCTCGTGAGGTATGTATAATTATTTTTCATAAATACACAAATTAATTAGTGTAAAGCTGTAAGATTTTATACAGGGTGTTATTTAAGTACACGGCCAAACTTCAAGGGGTGATTCTTTGAGTGATTCTCTGACGGAAAGATTATACAAACATAGGTCCGGTAGGGGACCGCCTAGCCGGGTGTGGATTTCGATCTGCCGAGTTAAACATCATGGACGCAGGCTGGAACTTGGATGGGTGACCTAAGGCAGGCTCGGGGACGTGGCTGCGGCAGCCTACCAGAGGCCTGGGTCGCTCAACACCTTCTGCATGCGTGTGGTCCCCAATAAAAATGGTAATGAGAGCAATAAATCTCTGTAACTCAATACCGTGCTATCATACATAAAAAATTGTACGTGACTTTGCCACCAAGCCACCCGTGTAGTAATAGGATGGTTTGAATAAAAGTACTCGAGTAATAAAGGAGGGTGTAGAAGAGGCCTAATAAAGGCCTCAGTGCCACGGTGGAAAAACAATTCCACCACCATCCGACATACAGACAAGACGAGACAAGATAGGTCCGGTATTGCGTTGTTTTCGAGATACAGGGTGTCAACTTTCTAAAAAATCGTTTTTTTTTTTTAAAAATCAATAATCCTTTTTGTTGAAATTTGGCGGTGTTATTTACGGTAGAAAGGGGCTAATTTAGCCCTAACTAGATTAAAATTAATAAGCCCAGTGGCATCCCCGGAGACATCTTAATCAATATCTTTGACAAAACAAATTCGCGCCACTTTAAAACTTTTATAATTTTTTTCTTCACATTACGCAACTAAAAATACAACTTTTTTGTCTCTTGAATTTTTTTCATATCTTGCTTCCTTTTTGGAGAAAAATAACTAAAAGTTACTTTATTGCATGTCCCTTCGCTGGGATAACATAATACAAAGTTAAAATGATCAAAAACCCGGACGTACCTGTTATTTTTGTCAATATCAATAGTCTATTCTAGTCTTAGAATTTTTTATAAAAATTAATGCTAGCTAAAAACAATTTTTGTCTTTTATTAATTACTAAATGTTTATTTTGGCATATTTTTCTATCTCCAAAACGGAAGCAAGATACGAAAAAAATTCAAGAGATAAAAAAATTGTATTTTTAGTTCTCAAAAAGTCAGAGGCACACATTTTTTTTTTAATATTAAGGTGCCCCCTCCCGGGATGACATTGGACTTTTAATCTAGGTAGGGCTAAATTAGCCTCTTTGTACCACAAATAACACTCAAATTTTAACAAAATAGGCTAAAGAAATAAGATTTTTATGAAAAAAAAAACGATTTTTTAAAAAAGTTAAACGCCATGAATCTTGAAAATGAAGCATTCTATGTTTATAAAAACTTAGTCTTAGAGAATCACCCCTTGAAATTTGGCCACATACTTAAATAACACCCTGTATATTAATAAAATACATTCCGAAGAAATAGTATTAAAAAATTTATCTGCGAAACAGGTTTCTTAGTACTTCGCACCATTCGTTGTCGAATACCTTCAACAACATTTTCTGTTAAAACAGTAGATCTGCCTGTCAACTTACCCTTGCAAATGCAATGTTTTCCCTATATCTTTTAGTAAGGATTAACTTGTGGTTTTTAAACACATTAAATACGATATTAGCATCAGGACCACAGCAAAAATGTTCTTGTTTCGGTGTAAATGCTATTTTTACACAAATCGACAAGAAATAAGAATGTAACAAATGAAACATAACCTTAAAATATTCGTTTAACTTACAAAACAAATTTCGACTTTTCGGAGTTCTGAAAATAACAACTTTTTTTAATTCGACATTGATTAATTTGTAGAAAAGCACAGAAACAGTAGCAAACACTGTTGAATTGTCCAAACAGGCATAAAAACAAAAAAACAAACGCCTCTGGATTGACATTTAATCTAATGTTATGCTAATGTTCTAGTCGGTGATTTTTCTTGGTGATTTCTGAAACACCAACTTAAGAAAATCAAATTTACTAAGCGCTAAAATAAATCTGGTCATGTGGTACCCAGGCATTTATGAGAACACGGTACTTCTTCCTGCAGTAACACCACTTTTAAGAATAAACTGCAGTAGTAAAAGTTTTTAATTAATGCAGTTTTCTATAGTGTCTACAGAGGAAGTTTTGAATGGTGCTACCAGTTTTGATGAATAAAGCGTTAAATTTTTCATAGAAGTGTACGCATTGAGATTCAGAATCTATTTAAATCAATTTGTTCTTAGTTGCAATTACAGTCATTCCTTTGAAACGGAATCTGAAACTTCACTTGAGCCGTATTTCGGTCATTTTGAAAGGTATCGAAATGGGACTTGGCTCCTCCAGACGAAACCGCAGCCTGATTTACTTCTCCACAGTTCATGATTTACATATAATCCACCAAAATAAGAATGTGTGATACAGCAGAAACTTTTCAGTTTCTGAAATTCAAAACTGAGGTGAATTTTGTATTTTTGCAGCACTTCGTTGGTGGCTGCTCTGCCAACATCATCGTCCACTGACGGTGGCGTCTATTGCGGCTTTGATATTTTTGGAAACATAGGTGAAAATATTAATTTCCGCGATGCATGTGCGAGGAAGGTAGTTTGGATCCCCTTCGATATGTTTCTATACTTTAGACGGGATTGGCTCTGCGTAGAGTGGTTTACGATAACTTCGTAGTACCCATCGGAAAGTTGAGTGAAATTTTGAAATAAGGTTGGAGGACTTGATTTTCAAGGATATTTTCACGTTTACCTCAAAATTATAAGTCTATGTTTCGTGTTTTTGTTACCCTTTTACGGATTCTTCGGTACGCGTAAATCGGTTAAGGATCGGGGAAATAAAATTAAACAAACGGCCAAATTTCAGTGTATATTAAATTTACATAAAGATGGTAAAATGTAGAATGCCTACTCTAAAACGATACCTTATACACAATGCAACAATTACAAATAAACGTACACTGATATGTTGAAGCAAAATGGAGTATTTTAAAAAACAGAAAAAAAAACAAATATTCAAAGTTTGAAATAAAAAATTCATATAAAAATACTGCTTATGTCAAGCACTAATATAACCAAGTAACGCGCTATGTACAAATATATAAGCAACCAAATGCAAATTCCTTTCTGTGTAAAGCTGAGGGACAATCAAGTTGTTGAGAACAGCAATTATATAAGAAAATATTGATTTGAAACATCGATCTAACATGTATCAGCTAGACACTGAAGAATACATACAGGGTCAGAAAGTACCGATGGTCCATCTGCCGTTACGTGAGAGTGATAAAGTGAGACATAGAAATACATGCGATAGAGAAGGATGGCTATAATGAAGGCGTCTCATAGTCACCGCCCGTTTCGCCCTTCCACAAATAAGATCCACTTCTTATTTATGGAAGGGCGAAATGGGCGGTGACTATTAGACGCCTTCATTATAGCCATCTTTCTCTATCGCACGGATTTCTATGACTTACTTTATCGCTCTCACGTAACGGCAGATAGACCATCGGTACTTTCTGACCCTGTATAGCTTTCTCTCCTATGTGTATCTCATATTGTGACACATAAGTAACCACATGAAATTATTTCAGTAAAGTGGGCATACCGGCATATTTGTTTGGAACTTTCTTTTGCAGCTTATTTTCTATGGTCATTTTTATTTTAGTCGGTAAACTTTCTATCTCCTTGTCATCGTATGTGAACATAAATTTGCAGTTGCTTATTTGGGATGTTTTATTCTCAATCGCTTCTAGAGCGTGATCTAAGCAATAAGTTACCGCATCTTGAGTGTCGAAAACCTAAAAAAAAATATTCGAAGTTACAGACTTACATTGACTTCCTTTTTCTTAGTCAAAGCTTTGATCTGCTCCTGTTCTTGCGCTAGACTCTGTGGGGGCGGATCCAGTATCCGAACCCCTAGGAACGCCGTGATGTTTATTTTGATTCTTATTGGGTGCTGCGGATGGTACTGCCTCTAAGACAATGGTGATCTTCCGAGACATCCTGTAGTGGCCTCTGTAACCAGTCACATACAATTCTTTCTTCACTGTTGGCATCTTCAGTGGATGTGACTAGTTTGAGAGGTCATTACAGAATTACGTAGTAGTCTGAACACCAATAACAAGGACGAAATAAACATCATGGCAAGTCCAGGGGTTCTAATAACAGTTCTACCCCCATAGATCCTAGCCCGCGAACAAGAGCAAATCAATGATTCACTAAGGCTAGAGAAGTACAATGTAAGTTTGTAATTGGACAACATAACCCCAAAAACCATCGTACTTTAAATGTCAACATGATGAAGATAACCTTAAAACCACTTCTGCTTTGACAGTTATAAATTTTTGTCTTTCAGTAAAAAATGAAGAATAACTAAATAACAAAGTAACAATCACAGATCAGATTTTAGGAAAAACAGAAAAAATATTTGTAAGAAGCTAGTGTTTGCGTTCACACACAATATGGGCCTGTTTGAACTCTCATTGGCAGCATGCACAATGGATCATAAAACCCAAATTGTGCAGGTTGCCATGACATATTTCATAAAAGAATTCCATAAGAGTAATGTGTTAGAAAGCGACTTGGTAGACTATCAATCGACCAATTTCCCCCAAATTTCTTTCTGACATGCTATTCAAATGCGACGACATGTCGATTGAAGACATTCAACGTACCGGGCGGCCTTGCACGTCTAGAACTGATGAAAACATGGAAAAAATCCGAGCGCTTATGTACAAGGACAGAAGAGTACTATTGATGTACCTGCAGAATTATCTGGTCTTATAAAATCATCATTGGAGATGAATCATGGTGTTATAGAAACGACCCTGAGACAAAACGACAGACATCACGGTGGAAGGCCACAAACTTCCTTCACCCGAAAAAATCAAATCAGCCGTGAACACAATGTTGACATGTTTTTTCGACGGTTGTGGCATTGTTCACTCAGATTATGTCCCTGAGTATCAAACAGTGAACCAAATCTTGTACCTGAGTGTCTTGAGGCGATTCGCGCGAGTGTTCGGTTGAAACAGCCCTATTTCTGGAGGAGTGGGTACTAGTTCTTCCACCATGACAATGTTCCAACTCACAGTCATCTCTGTACGTGATTTTTAGCAAGAAACTGCATGACACTGCTTCCTCACCCACCCTACTCACCTGACCTGACACCCTGTGAATTTTTTTGTTCCTTTGGATGAAAAGGGAGCTGAAAGAGAACGTTTTGCAGACATTTCCGCGGTGAAAAGAAAATCTAAGGCAGAGCTACAAGACATCGGAAAGGTTGAGGACAGAAGGTGGAAAAACTTTTGAATTCTGAATTTTTTAAAATGGTGTTCGGTCTGATTATTTTGGGTCCCCCACTCATATTATAAAGTACAAAACCACTTTAGAAATATGTAACAAGCATATCATAAGACCAATTCGAAGAAACAAACATAATAATTTTTTATATTGGTTGTTTTACTCACCATAGATACAAATAAGTTCGTCCTACAGACTTCGCACTCGTAGTCCCCTTCCTCTCCTTGCAGCTTCTTCTTCCTCCGGTTCCCCGCTTCAGGCAGGGGCATCCTTTCACTTTCCATTGTACCAAAGTTGCTTAACTTCAACCTCTTTTCCTTCTCGTTATCACAGAGTGCTTGTAGATGTGGAATTATTTGTCTTAATATTTCCGTATTACACCTCCCGTCCGAAGCTATATTTAAAATTAGTCTGTCCAGCGAGAACATCGACGGTTCCTTACTGTTTCTGAGCGAATCGAAAAGACCCCGGGCAGTTTTAAGCCAATACGGCGGAGCAAAATAGACGCTTTCCGACACAACGTATCCGGTGCTGATGCAGGATGTAAAAGCTTTTGGAAACACGACGATGAACTGTCCCGGGTCTTGTACTGTGCGGCATAATGATACGTTGTTTTCAACTAACAGACTCGGCGGTACCATTACAGTGTCAGATGGTAACCACAATTCTTTGTTCTTGCAATAGTTTGGAACTAGGTTCTTTAGAGCGGAGTGGAACATTTCACTGGTGGAATTTGGGATGGCGTACCAGATTTTGCTGCCTCCGGTATGTAAATACTCGATCCATGGAAGTCCGTGAGGATCACGGTACCAACAGCATGCGCTAAAAACCATTCCAACGTGAAGCGTTGGCACTGTGACACCTACAAATGTTCATATTTTTTTATTTAATTTTTATTAACATTATTGTTTTGTAGGAACATACAGGGTGTTTCAAAAAGGTGTTGCCAAACTTGAGGGGATTATAGAGGACATTGCGGAATAAAATTTTTGTATATAAACGCCTAGTCAATGACAGTCAATTGACAGCTGTCAACTGTCAATTTTGCAAATCTGGCATGAGAATTGAATTCAGCTCCCTCAAAAGCCCAAACTCTCAATGTGAAAAGAGAATATTTACTTTTCTATTCTTCGTTGACAGTGTATTGACAGCTGTCAACGGTCAATTTGTCCAATCTGACATGAGGGTTGAATCCAGTGACCTCAAAAACATTACCCTATATATTAGAATAATTAAAATATGCTTTTGACATCTGTAAATAGTATTGAAAATGAATAGTTTTGCAACGGGTCAGGGGAGCTTTGGCAGCTCCGTAGCTGCCAAAATGTTCATTTTGGCACTTTGTGCCCATGGAGACTTTTGTTCAGGATGACAAAATCTACAACATATCAAAAATTCAGACAATTTGACAGAAACCCAATTTCCATAAGATTATTGCGGGGTCCTTTAGTAAGATTATTCTGTCATCGTTGATCTTTCGTAAGTCCAAAAAATCAGAGCAATTTATTTGTTACTCGTAAGTGTAATTGGCTCCAGTGTTCTATGAAAACATGAACAAAAACGACTTTAAACGCGTTTTATTACTTGGAATGATGGGTTCTGTGATTATAAAACGAGGCAGAAGAAATAAAAAGCGAACAAAGTGGGTTAAACATGGTTATTGTGGAAAGAATACAATACGCCACTAATTCCTTATAACTCTCGTTTTTAATATTTTTATTTGTATATTCTTTTGAGGTTGTTTTCCATAAACACGGGTGATTACGATATAAATCGATCAGTCCACTAGTAAATTCTTTTGATGTCATATTTGAATTTGTCGTATGTTCTTAACTCAAGACAGAAATTAACCGATATTACATATCGCGCAACAGTACTAACACGCAGATGACGCTCTACAAAATATCGACCGATACTTCACAACAGATTTATCTGCTGTTTAATCGCTGTGTTAGTGTACGTGAAAAAATAATCGCTCCAAATTATTTGGCAGAAATTTATCCGCCAAAATTTTGGTATTTTACAAATTTTCTTGATGATAAATCGATAAATTGGCCAAATCGGTCAATAAAACTGTTCGTGTATATTCAGCTTATCGCTTTAGAGTCAACAATAGGAATCGAAATGATCAATACAGGCCTAGGGGTTCTGATAGGTGAGTCCACACCCATAGAGCCTAGACCGAGAACAGGGACAGGTCAAAGATTCCTAGTTAATTCTGATACTGGTCCCGACCGGGTAAATAGGTCATGACATGGCACAGGTAATTTTCAAGTCTTTTTTTTAACTTATACAGGGTGGAATAAGACACCACAAATTTAGGAAATGGTAGAACATCTAAAACAAAATTTTTTTTTCCCTTATAGACCATTGTCTCTTGGCTTTGGCGTCAATTTTTTTAAATCGAATTTTAGAAATATTTTTTCCAAAAAAACAATAGTGTATTGAAATTTGGTCCAGGAAAGTTTTCAAATGTACTAAATACATTGAATATTTGTAATAATTACCAAAAAAACAAAACACACACCTTTTATACAACAATGATGGAGGATTACTACTTACCCATAATCGGTCCCAAACATCTCAATACAGAACCGTTATTGTTGGTTAAAACTTTAAGATTCCACGGGTGCCTGGCAAATGGACTATTTTTAGAAACGGCAAAACCGTATCCCCAGCTTCCCGAGTCTATAGATCCCGAGTGGACGCAAATGTGGTTTTGTCGCAAAGTGACGTGCTTCCAATATTCCTGTTCCACCTACAAAAAAAAAACCTAAAGTAATATTAAGTGCCCCAACTAGCCAGACAAACTCTGTCAATGTAAGCATAAAAATGCTATTTTTCTTAATTGAAAAGTTTTATAAATTGTAGACGGGATAGGCAACAGTCGACTATATCGGCCTTTGAAGATGAGCCAAATCCAACAAAAGTCGTTCGTGCACGAAGAACTTTTAAGCAAATGGTCGAATGTTTTTTTCAGAAAAACCCATTAATGCAACGTCGGACGGTCAATTCTAAATGGTACACAATCATTCTTTTGCCAGAAGTTTTTGGAAAAATAAGGGAAATCAACCACCGAACATGCATCAACTTCACCAGGTTAATGTGAGCTCTCACAAATCGGCTCAAATAAGAGACTTTTTTGAGAACTGAAAAATTCGAATTGATGAGTCATTCGTAATACAGCCCTGATTTGGCACCCATTGACATTTTTTTATTCCCGCATATCAAAAATAAATAACGAGAACGTGTTTCGACGCCCAAAGAAGCTCTTGATATGTTCAAAATGCATGTTTCGGAGGTACCTCAATCAGAATGGAAAAAGTGCTTCGAAAATTGATTCAAGCGCATCCAAAAGTGTATTGTGAAATGGAGAATATTTTGGGAAAGAATAAGGCCATAAACAACGATTAATTAATTTTTTTTCGTTCTCTATTTCCGAAATAGAAGAGGTAACTCTCTTATGATCTTGGACTAATTGCACTAGTCGACATCATTCATGTGGATTCAGTACGGATAGTCATTTCGTGAAGATTTTGGCTCGTTGGAATCGATTCTGGCTTCAGAAATGCTCCATCACCTAAAGTTTTTGAGGTATCCTAACCTAAAAGTGCAAAAAACGCCATTTTTACACATATTTGAGGTTATATAATATCTTTGGGTATTTCTTTTTTATAAAACTAAGAATAGTATCTTGAAGTACAATCCTTTCCCTTCCAAGCGAATTTTGAAATACAAATATCTTTTTTTTTTTTTCACCGAGATATGACTATTTGAAGTTACCGTCTCACCAAATTATGCAATCAGATGCAACGTCCATGACAATGGCTAGACAGTTTTAGTAACCTGCGACGCTATAACCACCGACCCTTAAACACCAATTTCCTTAACCCTCCAACCTTATAACCTACGACGAGATAACCCCCGACCCTTACACACCGATTTCCTGAACCCTCGAGCCCTGTAACCTGCGACGTTATAACCTCCGACTCTTACACACCAATTTCCTTAATCCTCGAGCCCTGTAACCTTCGATGCTGTAACCCTCGACCCTTCAACTCCAATTTCCTTAACCCTCGAGCCCTGCTACCTGCGACGTGTATAAGGGTCTGGGGTTATATCGTCGTAGGTTACAAGGCTCGCGGGTTAAGGAAATTGGGGTTTAAGGGTCGGCAGTTATAGTGTCGCAGGTTACTAAACTGTCTAGCCATTACCATGGACGTTGCATCCGAGTGCATAATTTGGTGAGACGATAATTTCAAATAATCATATCTCCATGAAAAAATAAGATATTTGGACGATTCAAAATTCGCTTGGAAACGGGAAGGATTGTACTTTAAGATGCTATTCTTAGTTTTGTAAAAAAAATTACCTAACGATATTACATCGAGGGTGTCATATCAGAAGGGCGTACAGACCAAATCTGAAATTTTACAGGAAATGAAAAAAATGTGTTAGAAATCAAGATTTAGAATGAATTTGTTGATTTTGCCAATATAAGACCAATACATTATAGTTCATTGGGGAGATATAACATTTGGTAAAATGCCAACATGTAATTGATTTCCGGCTCATGCGCCCTTCTGATATTAGGATGTGCGAGGAACGTGTATTAAATTATAAGTCGTTCTCGTACTGTAGAGACGTCTCGTCATCAAATTCTTCATCATCCGAATTTTGGAAACTATTTATTACTGGCAAAGCAATATAGGTATAAATATTTATATTCTGGAGGAATGACTGCATCTTTGTCTTGGCACATAGACAACAAATTGTTATACTTTAATTTATTTATAGGAAGTTTTTCAGAATATAGCGATGTTGTAACATTGACCGGGTATTTAGGATACTTACAAAATATCAAAAAAACGCAATTTTTCACAAGTTTAACCAAATTTAAGATCATGTGAAATTTACCAAATCAGCTGAGGGCGTATAAGCCAATACTGTCTAGCAGGCGTAAAAGAAATACAGTATTTGAAGGGCGTTTGAGCATACGCCTTTCTGATATTATAGATTCACAAAATTGGTTTAGAATGCGTTAGAATAGAGTGTTGATGTTTATGAATATATAAGCCCTTGTGATATATTAAGCGAATGAGGTCATACGCCCTAAAAACCCAAAACCGACTATAGTGGCTCTTACGCCCTTCTGATATGACGCCCTCGATATAACCTCAAATATGTGTATAAATCGCGTTTTTTGCACTTTTAGGTTAGGATATCTCAAAAACCTTAGGCGATCCAGCATTTCTGAGGCCAGATTCGGTTTCAGCGAGCCAATATCTTCGTGGAAAGACTATTTGTACTGAATCCACACAAATCATGTCGACCAGTGTTATTTATAAAAGTGCTTCTGTGATAAATGTAGGTTAGTTTCAAAAATAGAACACGCACTCCTCTGCTTAAGGATAAATCACTCACAATCAAAGATCATTCAACTCTCAAGTATTTTCGGATACGCTACAAACAGAGATGTAATTATTGAAAAAATCACGAAATACTTTTAAAATTAACAAACAATCACACACTGACATTTAAATTAATTGAAAAATAATAATAATTAATAAAAGTTATACTTACGTCTTGAGCCGAGGGTTCTGGCGTTTTGAAGTACATACTCATGGTATTCCTAGCGATCCTATAAAATGCATTTAAAGCCATATTTCGACCTTTCGTAATGCATTCTTCGACTTCATTGTCATCAGCATCCGAGTCACCGTCGGTGGCGGCTTCTTCGCCGATCAATTTCTGTTGCACTTTCAACAGAGTCTTAGATTCTCTTTTGGCCCATTCCGTTTCAACTTCATCAAATAGTTTTTCTCTCTCCGCTGCAACACATATATTAAATACCTCGTTTGTTTCTTACAAAAACATGTATATTTACCTGGAGACAAAGTATCATAGGGCAGAAGATATTTACAGTAAATATCATCTAGTTTCGTTACTCGATCTTGTGCCGATTTCGGTATTTTCATTAGTTCCGAAACACGTGGCCACTTCTTCTTTTCTATCACCTCTTTAAGCCCGCCCAAGGTTTGTACGGTTTGATAAAGCCGTGGAAGATCGATTTCCATCCCACCGATCTATAAAAAAAGGTACACGATAATACGAATTCTGCGTTTAAATCTGTAACTTACCCATGGCGGGTGCGTTAAACTGATATTCTGAGTTTCCAAATACTTCTTAATCGCCATGAGTTCCTTGAAATTTGGCCCCCAACGGTACAGCATCTTGTGAACGTACTGATTGTAAGCGGTGAATCTCATATCGTCCAGTACCTTACATTCAGGTTTAAACGTACTCGGAGGTACTATGCGACATATCCCAAACTGCTCGGCTTTATGTCTGATCCTCTCGATATATTCCAACGGGTCTTGAAACTCTTGATCGGTCGGATGAAAAACTGGGGCCTCCACCAATTTGGCCGCGTCAGTTTTCTTAGGAAAATCCGATACGTAGATGGGATTCATGAACTCTGGAGGTCTGATTTTTGGTTTCTGCGTTTGACGTTTGTACAGTTTCGCGCTGGATGAAGAACTGGCGCTCGGTGAACTCGGTATTTTATATTTAAAATCGTCCAATTCTGAAATTTTATCCGTACTTTTACCCGGCTTAACGAGAGATTTGTTTTCATTTTTTAATTTGTTGGAAAAGTTACTACCCGATTGCAGTTTGGAGGAATTGTGTTTGGTTGGCTTCTGTGGGATATAAAAATGGTGAGAGCTCTCATCGGTGTCAATATTTGCATCAGATTCTTCTTTGTTGTATTTTAATACGTCTTGTTTTAGAGACGGTTTTCGAAATGGACCTTAAATGAAACGCAGCAAATACTAAATAGTATCACCTATACTTTATTTTAATTTACAGGGTGTCCCACTAAAAAAGCACACAAACTATTTCAGGTAAAAGAAAATGAAAAACATTGGATGTCGACTGTAAAATAAAAAGAAAATTTAGTAGTTAGAGCAACTTTTTCAAAATGTGCTGTTTTAGCACAATGTAAAGCAGTGGTGACATTAGACTAATTTTTAAGGGAACGAATGAAATTTGCAAAATAAAAAATTAAAATACGGGTTGCTGACACCAAGATCTCGAAAAGACACGACTGGTTTTTACGTCCAGGCTAAGGAAGGTCTAACCTCACATTTCTCTCGTTTGTCAAGTGCACATCGCTCCAGATATCTAGATCCAACAGATCGGCAAAAATGGACAGATTTAGTGAATTTTCCAGTGACTCCAATAATAGTGATATTGACCCAGATTATGCGGTGAAAGAAGAGAGTGGCAACAAAAGAAGCAAAAAGTATTTTAATAAATCATTAAATAACGCCAGTTCTGTTACTGACCAACATGGTTTAAATGACGATAGCAAACAAAGTAATTTTATCAGTTTTAAAAAACTATTATAAGAAATAATGATTACATAAAAACATGGTTGCAGATAGAAAAATTAACAAAGCTAGTGGATCAGGTTTAAATCGACGAGCTATTCCAAAGCAAGTAACTGCAAACAAATCAAACAATAACTCAAGCAGCACAAGTGAGGAAAGTAAGTAATCTAGTATAGTTTACTATCTTTGCACTACATTTATATTCCTTTTAATGCAGATGAAACTGCAGAAAAGCACTTAGAAAAAAAGAGTAAAAAACGCAAGCGCACTCCTCAAGCTTGGAAAAAAACTGTAAGAAAGTTGGAAAGAAATAGTGGAAAAGGATACGTAGTGTGGTAAAACCATTGAAGCAAAGAAACAAGGGTCCAAATATGAGTGTCGTAACCGGTGTTTTGAAAAAGTAACGTAAATGGAGAAAGATGCAGTATTTACAGAATTTTATGCAATGGGAGATAAGAATATTCAGGATAGTTACTTATGGTCGCTCATAGATGTAAAAAAGTCTCCAGAAGGAGAAAAACTAGCGTGCGTGAAACAAAAAAGTTTTCTTATGGCTTTAGTATCACAGCTGCTTCAAAAACTGAAAAAACTGAAATCCTAAAGTTACGTATGATTAGTATTATAGGCATTTCACAGAACAATTTAATGTCATTCGCCTATCCGAGATCGGATACTTGTGTTACTTTTCACCTCCGCAAAGCCCGAGCGACCTACGATTTGAAAGAAAACGAAACTGTGGAGACTATTTGCATTGATTACCAGCAAAATTTGCCTGTTCCTGTTTTGACTATGGGGGAAATATTTTATGCTAGGCAGATCTGGGTTTAAAATCAGCTTTTTTACTCTTGCTCCAATAATAAATCAGTTAGTTATATGTTCGACGAAAAGGTTGCGAAGAAAGGCTCTATAGAAATTATATCATTTTTGTGGCATTTCATAAAAAAATATATTAGAAGTTCAGTTACTGTTTTGCATCTTTACTGACAACTGCGGGGGTAGAATAAAAAAAACTGTTATGATTCATTTTCTTTCAACTTTGGTCAGCAACGGAAGATTTTCTAAAATAGTACATCATTTACCAAAGCCAGGTCACCGCTTCCTGCCATGTGACCGAGATTTTGCACAAATTGAAAAAAAGAAGACTGCGATAAAAAGTTCACTGTGGAACGCGTAACACAGGACAAGGTGTTTGATTTTAAAACATATATCAAGCCTTTTTTTAAAAAATCCTCCGTGGTTAAAAAACACGCTTTTACGTTATCGAAATATAGATCGTTTATACATGATTCTGCATCCCCTGAAAAAATTTCCGTATCTGACACATAATCCTGCTCTTACAATCGCATATCCTTTAAATAAAAGTTCAGGTACCATTATTGACCTAAACGGAACTCCTCTGGCTTATAACCAAAAGCTACCACTGAAATCAACAAAATTACGATAGCATTATGCCTTTGGTGAAAAAATATGTTCCCCTTATTTGTCAAACATTTTATGATACAATCAAACGGGCAGATCCTGGGCGCGAAAAAAATGATGATTCCGATTAGAGTTTTTAGACTGTCCCGTTTTATTTTATTTTTGACTTTCTCATTTCTCTGCGTTATTACAGTGATACTATAGTATAGTGTATTACGTACTTCGTTCTTATGTTACTTCTGTTATGCCCAATAAAGATTATTTTTTGAAAAACAGCATTTCTACTCTTCAGAAAAATTTTCCTATTCCTACCCAAAGATAACATTTATACATATATTGCTAGATAAAATGAGTTTTTGGTTATAGTACAATTGCTAAAGAACAAATTTCACCTTACTTCATCTATGAGTAAATGACAAGTTTATTTTTCTTTCAAAAAAATTATGAAATCTTTTTTGTTCATCTTCAACTTTGAAGTTTGTGCATTTCCTTGTGGGATACCCTGTATAAGTTATTCATATTTTGAACCTTGTAACTCACCGATTTTTAAGGAATCATCATGTTTAGACGATTCGTCTTCAGATCTTGACGTTGCTGTACTGGAAGGCCTCCTAGAAGGTCGTCTAAATGGCGTACTAATAACATCCTCATTTTCCTCACCAAAAGCATAAACACTACTCTCATTCTCAGGCGAAAAAGCATTTACGTTGGGTATGGTGTCCCTTTTGCTTTTACGAAATATTAATTTCCTATCTATCGCTTGTGGTTTGATTTGAGCGATCAACGTCGATTCGACCTTTACAGATTTTAATGGAACATCAATGACATCCTCCATTATTTTTTCGCTACTTTCCTTTTTTAATTCCTGGACCTCCAGCAATGAGGTTTTTAATTTCTGCGTGTCTATGTGGTCGCCCCCGTCTAATGTTGTTTCAGTGGGAATCCTTTCTCCAAATTTTAGCATCTCATCGTTTTCTTTTTTAATGCTACTTCCGGCTAAAGCAGAGTCTTTAAGCCATTTTTCTATCTGTTCATTGGACATATTAACTTTTTCTTTGCCATATCTACGTCCAATGTCTTTACTTAATAAATCCAAAAATGGAGGGGTATGCGAACAATGTGGTTCGATAGATGTTACGGGATTGATAATTTTGTCTTCAATTTTTTCATCAAAACCATGAAATATATCATCTTCGTCTGATGAAGACAGCATAGGGAGGTAGTTTTGAGGTCTTTTTGCACACTCTCTTTTAGGTTTCACATTTTCTTGTTCGATTTCAAGGCTGGCTGGCTGATTCGTTTTACTACTGCTTCTGTACTTTGAATTGGACTTTGGAAGTTCTTTTACTTTTAAATCTTGCAAAGATTTTTCCCTTAGTTTTTCATCAGGGATAGAAGAATTTTGGCTACTCTCTACACTTCTATTTGTTAATTTTGAAAGAGGTTCTTCATCAGAGTCACTGAATGCTGTTTCAGTTTTTTTCATTGACTTAGTCTTTGAAAACTTCTTGTTTTTTGCTCTGTTCATTAAAGTTTGTAAATTTATATCAGAAGTGGTCGATTGGTCAGAATCAGATGAGCTACATTCTTTTTTGTTTTTAGGGAAGACTTTTGAGGGTATAGTCATTAATTTAGTACTAATATTTATTATTTCACCACCGTCCTCGGTCTTCAACACTTTAATTGTTTTACTTCGTGTTAGTTTTTTCACTCTTGGAATTTTAATGTCAATATGAAAAGACTCGTCTGAATCATCACTCTCTTTTTTATTACCTTGGCAGGAATTCCTTGTTTGCCTCTTAGAGGTAGGTTTTTCTGTTGCAATATTTTCAATGGCACTATCCATTTCGTTGTTCAAATCTGGTGACTTTTTTGGAATTATTGACGTTTTATTGAGTTTTACTTTTTTAACCTCGTCTGTTGGATTTACTTCTAAGAGCAAGTTAATTTCATTTCCAGTTTTTTTCTTTGCACAGTTGGACTTTTTTACTTCTGAAAAAATTGTTAGTTGTTTAGTTGTTGATGTTAATTTTGCATCTTCCACTTGAACTGACACATCCTTTATTTCAATTTCAATTTCATTTTCATTGACTTTTGACCTAATTTTGATGTCATCTTTTGTGTATTTAGCTTGTGCCTTTAATTCATTTTCTCTCTGTTCAGTTCTTTTTACATTAGGTAATTCTGGAAAGCTGTCTATTGATATATTGTCGTCATCGATTTTGCTGTCATTGACAAGTTTGTGACTTAAAATTTCCATATAAATTGCTGCAGCCTCCTTTGTTTTCCTTGAAGGCCTTTGCGTCTTTGGCAATACACATGATACATCTTCAAGTTTGTCATTGTTTTTCTTCACGTTTTCTTCCTTAAGAACATCTTCATCTTTTTTTGAAGCATCTTTTTTGCATTTAGCTGTACAACTTTTGGTAGTACCTGTTTTAATATTGTTATCTCGAATGTCAATTTTATTATCTTTCTTTGAAATTTCATTTACTTTAGATAGCTCTCTTTTTACAACTACTTCCTTTTTGGTACTAGTTTCAGGCATCTCTTTTTTAATGCACGGCAGTTTTTTTGAATTTCCTTGGGCAGATTTATCAATTGCTTTACAATTCTTTTTTGACTTCTCTAAATTTCCAGTTTTCTCTTTCTCACCAATGTCAGTATCACTTTTTAATATCTTGTCCACTGGGGAATTAATATTAACTTTTTTGTTTTCCAAAGAAATATTTCTGGAGCTTCTCTTGGATTTTTCTAAGGTATTACACACTTCTTTAATATTAGTATCAATTTCTTTTTTGACAATTGGTTTGTCTGATACTGAACTGGGAGACTGTTTTTTGTTTTCAACAAATTTACTTTTGTTTATCCTTTTACATTTTTCCGAAGCTAGACTTTCATTTTTAACATCTCCATCAATACCCTTCTGGTCTGAATCTTCTGATGGTGATTCAAGTAGAGGTTTTTTGTTTTCAATAGCGATATTTTTGAGATTTCTTTTAGGTTTTTCTAACCCAATTCCATCATTTTTAATGCCTTCAACTAAACTTTTCTTATTTTTGTCAGATTGTACATTAATGCATGGTTTTTTATTTTCAGGGCTAACACTTTTATTTTTTTGAGATTTCTCTGATATAACATTTGTTTCACTTTTAATATTTTCATCATCTTTCCTTATTCTTTTACCTTGACAGAAATTGCTGGAAGGTTCTTTATGATCCAAAATATTCTTAGTCTTTTTAACATTTTCAGACATTTTAACCATTTCTTTTTTATTTTTCTCTACACATATTTTTAAATCTTTTTTCATTTCTGGGGGTTTTCCAACAGGTACTTCAACAATTTTTATTTCTTTTTTAACATCAGTTGATTTTGTAATTTCTCTATTAATGCTTTTAGAAATAGTTTCCTTTTTTTCAATTAGCTTGGTATTAATCTTCTTCACATCAGTGGTTTTGTTAACCTCTTTCTTAATATCAGTTGACTTGATCACTTCGGTTTTTATATCAGTAGTTTTGTCTTGTTCTACAATTCTGGCATCCTTCTTAAAATCAGTAGATTTTTTAATATCTATGAATTTTTTAATGTCGCTAGATTTGCATGTTTCCTTTTTTTGATCCGAAATTTTAGGAGTGTCCTTTTTTATATTCTGTAATTTGGTATCTTTCTTAGTGATTGTTAATGGTTTCTTTATTTCTAAAACCTCATTCCTCTCCCCAATTAATTTTGATTTATTTGTTAAATAACTCTGCACTCTTTGTTGAGCTTTTAATTTTTGTTTTGCTTTAAGAGATTTACTTTTCCTTTGCGACAGGATAGTTTTTTTCACAGTAGTCGACCTTAAAGACCTTGGTTTTACAATTGTAGTAGGCGCTGATATCAAAATTCTTTTTTTAATTTGTTTTATTCGTACATGTATCTTCTTATTTGTTGGGCCAGATCTGGTAATACGTGGGCTGTAATAAAAATGTATATTTTCTTAACACAGTTTCATTTTTTTAATTGTAATATACATTTTTCAATAGTTTGTCTTATATGGAATGAAAACTTGATTCAATTATAAAATTCCCTGGGCAATAAATAATTGTTTATACAGGGTGTCCCGAAATTCATGCAACAAAATTTGTACATAGATTCTTAAGACAAATTTAGGGGAGCCGTATTTTTTCTTTTTGCCAACTGTCCCCCTCTTTCGGAGTTACAGCCCCCAGAAATCTGCCAATAAGAAGTCTTTTTTATATCTCAAAACCGTATTGTACGAAAACCACTAAATTTGGTACACAGGGGTTTTATGACATGTGGAATCTCACAGTGCTATGCTTTTTGGCGACAAACCCCCTTAAGACACATTTTCGTTCCCTTATCTTTGGAATCAGAAAAATTTGGTCGCAAATTTGATTTTTTTTTAGTTAGCTAGAAAGCCATTGAATTTAGAAACTTTTCTGTCTCATGATATTTGTTTCGTAAAACGCAATGTTTTTGAGAAAAATGGCGAATCACGATATGCATTCGATCACATTTTGGCATTTTTCTCGAAAACATTGCCTTTTAAGAAAAAAGTATAAAGTGACAAAAAGTTTCTAAATTTAATGGCTTTCTAGTGGACTGATAATTTTTAAGAAATTTAAATATGCGACCAAATTTTTTTGGCTCCAAAGACAAGGCGGCCCACAAAAAATTATCTTAAGGGGGTTCCTTGCCAAAAAACGTTGCACCATCAGATTCTACATGTCATAAAACCCCTGTGTATCAAATTTAGTGATTCTCATACAACAGAGTTCCGAGATATAAAAAAAGATTATTCTTAGGGCGGACTTCAGGGGGCTGTAACTTTGAAAGAGGGGGCCACTTGGCAAAAATAAAAAATACGGGTCCCCTAAATTTGTCCTAAGAATCTGTGACCAAATTTTGTTGCATGAATTTCGGGACACCCTGTAGAGTAAAATGTTGAAAAATTTAAAAAAAATTTTAAATGGTTATAAAAGTGTAAAAATATGTATTTTTAGTATTGATCATTGTTTATTATGACAACAATTATCTGTAAAATTGTGTACCCTTTCTAAACCTTAATTTAAACCCAGGGTATGTGATAAACTTTTTGAAGTTTTCTTAATTAAACAATTCTGTCAATGGAAAACCACATGATCGATCATTGCAAAATTTTTAGAGTAGAATTGACATATGTATTACTATTTGTTCACAAAGTTCATCAATATTTATAAATATTTACTTATTTTAATAATTTACATACACGTGATTTTCTACTATTTTTCGCCGATTGTTAATGCAAAATTCAACTTTTTTGATTTGCAGTTCTAACTTTATAGAAAATCGTCAAAAACAAAAAAGAATGAATGACTTCTTTTTGATTTAGATTATTTTCAATGTTACAAGGAAAAATATGTCAAAAAACGGGTCATTTTTCTTTCTTTTTGTATGTTTGTTGTTTCCCTGAATTTGGCAATGGTTTTTTGGAATAGGCAAACTCGGATTCTTATTCTACATAATATTTGGGATTTTTCTGTACAACAAAATAGTTGATTTCAAACACAAACACTACCTGGACTACTAGAGTTCATTGATTACTGGCAACTTTTCAAACAAGTAACGTGATCTAACTACTAAAATTACTAAAGTAGTGATAAGAGTGTACCACATTTTTTATTGTAGAAAAACTAACTCAGGATTTCGTCGACAGCAGTCAGGTCAGAAATCTGTGGTGATTTAATTTGTTCTTTTTATACGGTGCTTTGTGTCTCCCTACAATATGCCTGTTTAAAAAGTAATATTTGAAAGGTTTATATTTTATACATCAAAAAATTGAATTGATAAATGTCGTTTTTTTAAAAAGTTTTGAATATCGGATAGTGAATGTGCCGCTTTCTTGTTTACCATTACTTTTTCATCTGGTATTGCACAGAATCGATATTTTTTAAGTATTGTTGATCTCTATTTCGACACCATGTTATATAGGGTTGCCCAAAATAAAAAAGGCCAGAAATAATTAATAAACACATAGCTGCCTTGGATGAAAATAAAAGAATGACAATAAAACTTGGAATTTGGTTTTCCTTGGTCAATCGGTATGCATATAAGCTTATTTTAACTTAAAACAGAAGTAGCTAAGAATACCTTAAATGGGCTTTTTGTTTCTTCTTCTGCTCTATTTTTCTTGTTGGTAGAAATTTTGATAAAATATTTTATGAAATATTACTTCATTTATTGTAAAAAATTATAAAAAACCATTTTATTAATTAGATACAATACTGGCCTAAGTTTATAGCCTTTAACATGTTTAGTATTTAAGTTGAATTATTAATTTATTTTTATTTTGTTTCTTCTTTGACTTAGTAATTTGGATGTCTATAGAATGGGAACAACATCCATAGTTCGCTGGTTCAAATCCGGTTCGAAGGACCAAAACACGTTTGGCAAAAAAACTAAAGTAGAAAATGAATGTTAAATTCAGAAGGTATTACGCTAGTGACTACATTCAGTACGTTAATTTTTCTGTAGTGTTGTGTTAAGGAAGTTAAAAATACGCTTCTTTTGATCATTGTTGTGACAAATTTGGGGAAGAATCGGCCAGCACGACTATGAGAATCACCTTCAGGTGAGTTTTATGAAACTCGATTTTAACATTCACTTTCCGCTTTAGTTTATTTTTATTTGGGAATAGATATTACTCGATTTAAATGATAAATCCGAAACACAATGTAATTAAGTGGTAACATGCAACAATTGTGCCATTTTTAGAGTAAATATAACATTTTATAAAACGTAAAAATTCCAGCACATTTCATTAAAATATCTTAAAAAATCACGAAGTTATTTTGGGGAAAAACCAGAAAATATTTCTCCGAAGGCTCATAACTTTTTTAGGAATAAAAATTATGATAAACAAATCGGACTATTTTCATTCAAGGAAGATATTCTTGATGTATTGCCATTTTATTTTGGAACAACCTATAGTGTTATAGAGGGATTGGCGCAACATTGAAATATCTGAATTTTTACCACCAAAGTCGCAAAATAAAACAACTAAAATTAATATTTACTTAATAAAAAAATTGATTTACCTTGTTTCCACTACAGGAACTGTCTTTTTTATGACCTTAGTAGCTAGTGGTTTCGGTTTAGATTCCTTAACTGGACTCGCTAAAGGTTCCTCGTCTTCAGAGTCACTTTCTTCCTCATCCTTATCCTTTGTTTCCATTTTTGGTACTAAAGGTTTCTTAATAATCTTTTTATTTGTTACAACACGCTTCCTAAATGGTAATTCCTTCTGTACAAATCTCCCTCTGAAACTCCTCAAACACATTTTTGGTTTAATTTTAGGTCTCAATGTGGTCTTTAATGTTTGAGTAGTTACTTTCACATGTTTTGTAGCAACCACTTTAGTTTTCTGTAGAGTGTTGGTTTTCTTCGTAACAGTTTCTGTTTTCGATACAGTATTTGTCCGCACCAACGTCTTATTTGTTACTTTTTCCGATAATTTGCTTATGGTTAGAGCACGAATCTTGGCCATTTTTTGTTCTTGATATTTTCTACGTAAGGCTTGCAAAGCCAAAGCATGTCTTCTTTTTCTATCCATTTGTCGACTGATTACAATAGGATCAGCTCTTTTACGAACTCCAAATGCAATAAATGGTTTCTCTGAGGAAGTTCCACACTTGGCGATGTCAATAGGCCCATTTTTGGGTGACTCCCCCTTAATTTCATGTACCTGACCATTTGTATCCACAATAGAGGCTGTATTAAAAAAATTTAAAGTAGGAGGAAGAATAGGAGTACCACGAAAACATAAAAAGGTTAGAAAATCTTCCGTATTTGGTCTTTTAATAGGCAACAACTCTACTGGTTCTGGTAAAACATCTATCTTAGGTATTTCTGATTCGAGTTCTTTTATTGGAGTTATAACAGGACTATTTACATTAGATCCTTGGGCAAACTTACGTTGTGCATGTACCTTCGTTCTACAACAAACAGAAATAGTCAACTCAGTAACATACTGTTAAACTAAGTGACAATATAATTCAAATAAGAAAAACTCTGAGGATAATAACATATTTACCTTTTTGGACTATCATCAAGTAATGGTGAGGAGCAGCCAATTTTACGTTTACGTTTCATGCTAGTGTTTTATATATATTATATTTAAATACTTAAATGCTTAGTTATTTGAAGTTTATTAAAATATATTATATTATACTCCACAGTTTCTTCTTAAATGTTATCATTTCTTATGTTACATTCAAGTTAACCTAAAAAAATGTATATTTACCAGCAGACCTATAGGTAAATAAATAAATACCTACCTTTCAAATCGATAAGAACTATTAATGTGTTAATGATAATGTAAAATCAATTATGCTGAATGTGAAACCCGGATGCATTGTTGTCAAAAGCAGCTAGGTAAATGTCGTTGATTTTTGTTATTTATTTTTTATTTGCAATCGCAAAATGGCGTGTAGATAAGTAAGATTTCTGTATGTTCAAATTGAAATACAAGCGGCAAATCTAGTGTAAAGTAATTTTAGTGTCAGTGGTCGTGATTATAAAATATAATTACAGCAGATTCAAATAAAAGTGAATAGTTCTTCGTCTTATTAGGTTATAAAAAAATTAATCCAGCTTATTTTGATTATAAATCAAATTAACCGAATATATAGATACCTCACTATCAAAAAGTTTTGTACAAATCAGAACTGTTTTCTTTACAAGATTGAAACCAATGATTAGCTTTAAATTGTCAGAATTGATTTTAACATAATTACGGAAAGGTTTATTTACTACGGCATCTTCTTTTGCATTAGTATTTTAAATCACGTACTAATCGCATTATCATATTTTTTTTAAATCGTTTAATTAGTGTCTAATTTACAAATTATGATCACATAGTCACAGCTAAGAAGAGACGTTATCATGGGCGTAGTTAGGTTTTTTGCTAGGGATGCAAAAAAAAACGCATGCACTTCAAAACACTTTTTCGTTTCATTCTAAAAAAAAGACCATGCAATCAGCGACCTATCGATATTTTCAAATCTTAAACACTTTTTGAAACCTGCAGCATGCAGCAGCAATTAGGGGGGGGGGGTAGCTCCTACCCCCCTGGCTACGTGGCTACGCCCATGGACGTTATACTTGGTAATTCTCAAAGAATAGTTATGTTTGGAAATATGTAGGTAATCAAATCTGCAAAAGATTATCTTTAACATCATATATAAGTATGTATATATTTTTTTTACAATTGAAACTTCTTGGATTCCTTCCAATTTCTACTCCAACAATTAGTTTTTGATCAGATTTTCGATCTAGTTAGCTACCTACATGAGGTGCGGGTGATCCAAGCCTTATTAGGATTAATTGAAATTTAAATGGGATACAGAGTATATATATTTTTTAGTTCAAAATTACATTTTAAAACACTTTTATGATGGTTTCACGATATGCAAAATAGGAGTTCTTTGCATTAGTTTTACTTGTAATATCTTGTTTTAGGTATAACATTAGATAAGATTGAAATTTGTTTGATCTTTTGAAAGTCAGAGTGTCTACCATATTTTTCTATCAATAATTATTAATTACCTGTATAAAATTGAAAATTGTGTAATAATTTTACTTATTAATTGTTTAAAATATATTTAGATTACTGAACAATGATCAGTTTTTTTTATTAAGTATACTAAGTAAATGGAATGATGAGCTTAAAAAACATTTTATTAAATCTTAAAGTAAAAAAATACATACACAAGAAAAAAACAAAAAATAAACAATATTCTTCAATATATTGTATAACAAAAGTGTTTTTGTATACTTATATACACTCCAACTCTCTATTACAGATTTATTTTAAATCATCGGTCAATAGTCTCAGATCACAGATGTCTGAAATTTTAGCTATTTACATAGGTACCTACATATATTTAATTGATAAGATATAAATCTTATACAGTGTGTCTACTTAAGCTGGAACCATATGGAAAACTTTTTTATTATTGGTTTTATGAAAAAAAGTTATTCTTCATAAAAAGTTCTGCATGGTCTAGAATCTGAAATACAACCTTCAGTTTTCAAAATTTGCCAGTCATATACGAGATATATCAGAAATTATGAATTTTGCTCAAGAGTAAAGTACCCTTATTATTTTTGACAATATAGAAGTGTTATAAAGAAAAGTTATTTTGAATTAAAAGTTATTTTCAAATATGTAATTACAGTCATTTAGCATGAAGATTCAGGTTTTATGGTTATACGTTTTATGTTATAAATTATTTGTATTATTATTATAATTAAATTGCAAGGTTATTCATAAACATTAACAGATGGAAAGGTTATCATATTTTTAATAGATAAGAGATAAATACAAATAATTTATAATGTAAAACATAAATAATCACAAAACCTGAATTTTCATGCTAAATGGCTGTAATTGCATATTTGAAAATAACTTAATTCAAAATAACTTTTCTGTAGTCAAAAATAAAGGTACTTTACTCTTGAGCAAAATTCATAATTTCTGATATAGTTCGTATATGAATGGGAAATTTTGATAACTGAAGGTTGCATTTTAGATTCTAGACCATGCAGAACTTTTTATGAAGAATAACTTTTTTTCATAAAACCAATAATAAAAAAGTTTTCCATATGGTTCCAACTTAAGTAGACACACTGTATAACTATATTAGCACCATTTAAATTGTGGGGCATTTAATTAACATATACAAGTAACATAACAAATACAAAATTTCGGTATTTCTAATAGTTATACAGGGTGTCCCGGAAATAGTAAATGAAAATATAACTACAATCAAATTTACTTTGAGAATTTTTTAAAAGATTTCAACATCTCTGAATTTTTATTAAACTTCACCTGTATTATATTTTCCTTAGTATTACTTAAAATAACTATTTATAAATTAGTTCCTTATAATTAAGTTACCGTAACATAAAAAATCTCGCCTTGGTGTTCCTAAATTCAATTACTTACAAACTTCTACAGTGTCGTGTTCGTGGCCAAAATTAATATAAACAATGCAAATGAACTGGTAGTCAATTGTTACGCTTTACAAATATATATCAGCCATGACCAAATTTGGTATACATTTTTGACTATTGATGTCATGTATTTGTTCAAAATCAACAAAAAATGCAAAACTTCGATGCAATAGCAAATAAGGATAATGGTTAGCAAAAAAAGATAATGGTAATTGAAAACAATTATTATTGTTTTATAAAGATCAAAAAATCACCATCAATAATTATTACATAGAAACATTACCAAGGACAAAACTGGTGTTCGATTTGAGTTGTAAATAAATGTTTGTAAAACACAAGATAATTATTTAAGACCTCATACTAGTTGTAATAGGTATTCACATAATAAAAAGAAGAAAATTATGAGAAAAGGAATATTATTTATCGTATTACATGTACACTACAAATTTTTAACTAATGAATACAACATTTATCAACAGTACTAACCTAATCTAACCTAACCCGATCTGACCTAATCTAACTTAATCATCAGTTATTGCTCTTTCATCCGTAGCACGTATTTTCTGAGGCAAAAAAATCCTCATCAAGGTATAGTCATGAAATGTGAGTTTCGCACCACCTATACTCATAATATGGTTCTGTATAAAATAGTCATCAATAGCCAAATTTGGTTGGTTGGTACTTCAACTGTTTGCAATTCTTTAAAATGACTTTGTTAATAGATCAAAGAACTTTGTTAATTTTGACCGAAAAACATTTATCCTGTAAATGTTTGGCAGACGAATTAAATAAGAGTCACCCTGTATATTGTCAATTTGTAGACCTTTCAAATAGCCATTAAAGAAATATGTATGTTAGTTTAAACAATCAATGATACCATTGATACCTATATATGAAGTAAATAAATACATGTAGAGTCTGGTAATTGAAAAGCACTATATTTTGAAAATTAAGAGTATATTTATGATTTATGAATGGTTGAACTTATTTTCGGGACACCTTTATAGGAAGAAGGTGTTTACAAACTTGGAAAGGATTTTTTAAAGACAGGTAGAGGTAGAACGCATTCATAATAAACATTTTCAATAATCAATATCGTTGAATCTGCAAGACGACGTAAAGATTAATAAATAGTAATCAAGATTGTTAAAAACTTATCGAGGATCTCTGGAATAAACCTTGAATAATCATAGAATCGTAAACTGTAGAAAGAGATGGCTATTTGTGCCTTAAGTGAAGTACCTAGTTATTATTTTTAATTCTTATTTTAACTTTTATTTTTGTGTTTGTATGTGGTGTGTGTGTCAGTAAGTGCAAATAAACTTATAATAGTGACCCAGAAATATAAATTAATACATAGGCATGGTGGTACGGTATGGAAACTCTAATAGAAACTGCGAGAGCTATCGGTGCAGTTAATTGGTCCAAAAAAGTTTTCATGGTATCAATGTGGTAAGTCAGTAGGTAGATATGAAAAATATACAGGGGTATGTCAAGTTTTAAGGGGGAAAATTTAATAGGCAATGGAATTCGTAAAAATAAAAAGGAGAGTTCATATGAACTTTTATGTTTTAAAGCTTCCTTTTCGGGATACAGGGGCGGCGCTAAGGCATCCTAACTAGATATTTTAAAGAAAAATTTGTGCGCGCCACTGCTTTAAAATTTTCTCGATTAAAACCTGAGACAACTTATAGATGTATTCTATTTGCAAAACATAGTTTTCGCACCTCTTCAAATATCCTTTACAAGTTTGTAAACATCCTGGAAGTAACTACAATTTTATACAAAACAATTAAATTTACTAAGTTCAACAGTCTTTAGTGATATGGCTATGGTTGCTTGACCCAGTGAGGCCATGTCTCTATTTCTTTCTGAAAAACAGCTCCAGGACTTTCAGTGCCGTATAGCTGTCGCGCGCCTAAAATCTTATAGTCCTTCTCGATATACCCCAACTCGACACCTTTAGCAACTAGTTTCTTAAAGGCGGCGATTTGATTCTTCGGAGGTATTTCGGAATTAAAAGTTCCCACGAACCCCACACCTATGCTTTTATAGTTGTATCCGAAAGTGTGGGCGCCCTCGTATTTCCATCCTCGCCCTTCATAAGCAGCGCCATCTCCGCCAACCAGGAAGTTATAGCCTATATCCCACCACTGGTTGCTTTCGATGTGGAACTGCTGTATATGGCGTACTTGGTAAACACATTGAGCTAGAGAGATGCAACTTTCAGTGGCCGTGTGCTGTATTATCACTAAGGGAACTGGCGTTTTCAGTAAATCTGCTTCGTGCGTGGGCGGTTGTGCTAGCCACTGCAGTCGGGGAATAATTCGCAGTCTCTCGTTTATCGTTGAATTGGAATCTGGAATGATAAAGTTATATTACATTTTTATTTGAACTTATAGTTTATCTGTAGTTGCACAGGCGTGCACAACAGAAAATGTTTTTTTTTTATCTGAAACTGAGAAGACTGCATGGCAAAGCTTCAGGAATGCAACAGAAAACTTCTTGGGTTACTGCAAAAGTCAAATTATAAAACTCTGATCGGTTTCACCAAGATTTGAAGAAAATTATTATGAGAAAATGTATTTACAATTTTAGCGTGATGGGTACAGTGCCGGCCTTTGAAAGTGGACGACTCTTATAAGCAAATTGTCTATAATTGGCCTTTGTGAAGCTGACTTGAAAATGTGAGGTTCAAATCAGCTGTCATTATGTCAAATTTAATGTGTGTCTATGATACTAGTTCTAGTGAGTAAAACAATTCCAAATTAGGTAGCAAATTATTTATTTTTCCAATACTGAAATATATTAGACATTCTAACGGCCATTCATTCGCCGTCAACGAGATCTAAAAATGAAACACTTTTCGTCGTCAAAAAAACGCGATTCGTAAAGTTAGTATTTTGTCCAAGCACCATATTTGTCTATAATGACCCATTTACACAAGGCCAGTTGTGAAGACATTCCACTAAGCCAATCCAACATTGGCATCGTGTAAATGAGAGTCCTGTAAATGGAATGTCTCCAGCCATTGTCCCAAGCCACTCCACTAATTAGAACGGTTTCTAATTTTAGGAGCCAATAGCGTCCCCCACCACTCAAGAAGTGGATTGGCTTGTGTAATGGCATTTGTGAGAACGTACGTTCCTAGCCAAGCCTAGCCTAGCCCTAGCCTATCCATTCTACACAACCGTATATACTAGACCACATAGATTATACAAAGATACTAGCCTGGCGGATGACGGACTGGCCTACGTGTAAACTTCAATTGAATTTTTATTGGATTGTCCTCAACTTTGTCATTGGATTAGCTTAATGGAATGTCTTCACAACTGGCCTCGTGTAAATGGGCCATAACACTGCAATCTGCATGGCATTGATAAAATTAATGTTCTTATTATAATCATCAGTGATGTTATCCCATGCGTTTTTAATTGCCTCCCAAAGTTCTTCGACGTTAACTGGACGGAAGTTTCTGTCGTAAATTGTTTTCACCATATATCCCCAGGACTTTGAGGGCCAAGGTAAAACATCGATGTTGTTATCAATGAACCATTCTGACCCAACTCTTGAGGTGTGAATTGCACAATTATCCTGCTTCAATGTGAAATTCTGAGGATACAGCATGGTCACAACAACCATCAAGACTTTGGCAGCTTGTCCAAGCCCAAACGTTAATGGAGAATATATCGCTGCGCTGTGTGGGTTTCACATAAGGCTCCGAATACCTTATAATCTCTGGTGGGTAGACACGGACAGAAGCATCGGAGCAAGACTGAAAACTTTTTTCGTCCAAACTTTTGAAAACATACTACTACATGTCAATTTTAAGTTTTGGAAGGCCTTCTTGTGTGTATATAAGAGACGTAATGACGTAATCGACGTTTTTTTTAAATACAAACATAGATCATTAAACAACTAATTTGAAAGGTCTCCTAATGGTCTATCCAACGGTATAATTATTTGAATATTTATTTCTACAGGGTCAACTAAAATTATGTAGTTACTTACAATAAATGTTCATCCACTGAACTAACGACGCTAAGGACCGCTATTGGAAATAGAACATCGTAGTGTTCTCTACAACTTTTATTAATTCAAGAAACGGGCCATATTAGAGATCTCCCCAAAAAGTACAAGAAAATCAATTCCCGAGGCCAAAAAACTTGATATAGTAAAAGATCTTCATACTAGTGAGAGACAAGTCGCAGTGAATAATAATTTACACCAATCAACGTTCTTAGAGTACTATAAAAGGAACAGTGGTATCTATACACAGTACATCTGGTCCAAGAGCTGTTAGAAGATGACTTTGATAAAAGAATCGAATACTGCGAAACTATGGAACGATCTAACAGATATCGGAGGTCATAAAAAGGTATTTTTTTTCATATGAAGCTACTTTTATGCTCGACGGCCACGTAAACCGCCAGATACTGGTCGAGTGAAAATCCACATTGGATGGAGGAGTCCAGCACTCAATATCCATAAAAGGTGAATATTTGGACCGGAATAATAAACAACCAGATTATAGGGCCTTACTTGTTTGAAGAGAACTTAATTGGTCCTTGATATCTAGAATTTCTACAGGGTTATCTGTTTGCACAACTGAATTAGTTATTCCCGAATAGAAATGATTTGTGGTTCCAGCAAGATGGGGCGCCCCCACACTACACCGTTGATGTACGAACTTAAATAACGTTTTCGTGGTATGTGGATAAGGAGCAGAGGATCGATCAAATGGCCACCAATAAGGTCTCCAGATCTGAATCTACTAGACTTCTTTTTACAGGGAATGGAAAACCAAAGTTTACCAAAGTCGACCAAATAGTCTAGAAGAGTTAAAAGAGCGTATCAGAACGGATATTGCCGAGGATATTGCACAAATAACCACTGAAGTTCTAGAAAACGTTGGAGAATAATTTACTGCTCGACTTTCTCATTCCATTATTGCTGAAAGTCATAAGTTTGAACATTTATGGTAATTTCATTCTACTTAAGTAAATACATGCAACTAAGAACAGGTTTATTTAATTGTTGCTTATATCTAATGGTAGCTATTTGAATATTTGCATGAATTATATTTTGTTCTTTTGTTTTTTTTTGAGTAATGCTGTGTTCTAGGTGCACCCATCAGTTTTATTTTATTATGTACTGTTTTTTTCTTTCTTGAATTTAATACTTGTACTTCAATTTAATACTTGTACTGGATTGTCCTGTAAATGGTTATACTGTTGGACAAATAAAGTGTTATTATTATTATTAAATACATAATTTTGGTTGACACTATAGAAATACATATTTTTTAATAATGAACGACGAATGATAATTTCGAAATTACAAACCTTTCAGTTTACCTAATTTTTTTAAAGTTCCACTTCGATTTTACGTATAGTTAGTAAGCCTATTTCTTTAGTTTTTCTTCATTTTCTTCGTTAAAGGAAGGGGAGACAAAAATTTCTCAAACCAAATCGATCTAAAAGCGAGTTACTGCCACTTGGTATCATTTGAAACTGTGTAAGAAACATTTAAAATGCTCCGTAAGACAAATTTTTTATTCTAAAAGTGCTTAAACAATAGAATCAGCTATTTAACGATACTGTAACTCAAGTCAGCGCCAAGTTTTTTAAAAATAAATATGATACATAATTTTAAATGGATGGAAAATACGTTTTAGTTAAAATCTCAAAGCAATGTAGCAATATATCAGTCATTAATTTAATTAATTGTATCTGCTTTTATAGTAGTTGCAACTTATTATATTAAATAATAATAACTATATGTTACGTAGCTTGGAAAATTGAGAATAACAAGATTTACAAGTGTAGCATTTTCTTTTTTTTATATACAGGGTGATTCACAAATGGTGAACGTTTCGTTAAAAAATACAGGGTAAATACTTCAAAAAATATTTTTAGTTTTTTTAAATAAATTAAAAACTAATAAGTGAAACAATTTGAAGTTGGACACGTGTATTTATGTAAACATTGTCCAAAATCTGAAGGATTTTCCTAAAATTTACATGCTCCAGTGGCGGAGATACAGGGTATCGGTGGCATATTTTTCTAAATAAAATAGTACGCCACTGCTTTACGGTAACAACCCTGATATTTTCGGATTCGTCTTTCAATTTTCTACAAATTACTACTCTTATCGTTTTCGAAAAAAGCCTGATTTTCGAGTTAAACTTAAAAAACCAACTGAAAAACTTTTATTCGATTATATATTCGAATAAAGAAATTAATAACGTTAGTCATCATTTTAATGATTTTATTAGAGTAAATGTTCAAAAATACCTCCATATGCACGAACACAGGCGCGACATCCTTCTAGTAACGAAAATGTAATTTGTTCGAAATTTTAAATATTGAACAAACGTTAACATACCTTTTAATATTTCTCGAAACGGGATTAGTTTTGGAGGTACATCTTTCTCCTCCTTCTCCTCTTTATTTGTTTTAATCTTTAGTAGGTCCCATACATATGATGGGACCGTGCACGATTTGCATGTGCATAGTTCCCCATTTATTAATTCACTCATTGTAATAATTCTATCCTCACTCATGTTAAACCTCTATTGCTGCTACTGCTACTAATACACTGAATTGGATATTGGATCTATGCTATCAGACGCGCGTTTAGCGTTTGACTCTCCTCTCTCCCTCCCCCACTTCTCTCTCCCCACCCCACCCCACTCACTATTCGAGAAATGAAACACACAGCAGTTTAGCAATATTTTTCCACTCTATTTAAAATAAATAAATACAATTATCAAGCTTATCTCTATTAACAATATACCATTTATATATAGCATATACATTCTGCCTAGTAAAGCCTAAATTATTAATTTTATGTCTATTACATTGAAATATTAAATCTTTTATTCTACTACAGCCATACGGCTCCAAGTCAATAGTAATAATAGGTAAATGAGGCTTCAGCCATCTCTTTTTCTCCAATCGTTTCACGAGGACAGGCTGCTGACACACTATCGGATATGAAATCTCCGAGTCCACTGTACGGTAAGTTATCCCACGATGACGACCATCTAAGACCGTGTACGTGATTTACAGTCCAGTCGATTTGGATTTTTACACTTTCCCGGAGATGTTTATAGGGAATTTTGGGTTTGACTATTCTATTCACACAGGATCTGTCGTTAATGTTAAATATGGAAATTTCCTTGCACGTGAAAGCCAATTTTGTATTGAAATCCCTGCAAATCGATTATAGCTGCTGATGCTGCTACTAATAAGTGCGAACTATACTCGTCAGAGGGTTATAGTATACGATCCTATCGTGAATTATAAGACAATAGGCTGCGGTCTCCTTTGGGATATTGTCATTAGTACCGAATTC